TGATGATGATGATGATGATGATGATGATGATGATGATGATGATGATGTTTTTGGTTACTGCTTGCTGGTTGGAGATGTCCTGATGGCAAAAATCAAAATTGCCTGAATGAATTTGAAACCCCTAATCAGCAAGAAATAGACTAACAAGATCAATGCTCCATTTCTTCTCTTTCTTTCTCTCCTACCTAGTTTGGGAGATTGGAAAGGATAACAGTGGAGAAGGGTGGTAGAAATAGGAACCCATAAAGTAGCCAAAAGTCCAGTTACAGTGGGATGTTCCAGGTCAACTAAATAGTCACGGCATAAGAATATATAGAACTTTAGTGGCTTTTACTAAGTTTCCTACTCTTTAAGGATACTCATTAGAATGTAACCTTGCCCCTTTAGAAAGACTTCAACAGTGCTCCAATGGATGTCTGCATCCATACTCTCTCTGATGAAGAGTGTATAGTGAGACTTTTATCAACTTGGTCTCTCACTGGTTACTCATGAAGTACTGTGCAGCCACTCACTGTCTCAGTTCCTCTTTGTTTACATCCTTCTTGATATAGGAATTGTGCTTATATACCTTTAGTGACTTGAAGCTAAAGCTCTGCAGAGATGAAAATATGTGAAAGGTGGTAGATTTATCCAGGTGTTATTTGCCCCTTACTTTGCAGATTTTTTTTCATTAGTCCAAGACTTGTCTGTGGCATGGGTGACATAAAAGTGCTAGCCTTATGAATTGGGTCATTCTAAGAGTTTGTGTCAGTAGTTGTTTAGGCCATGTCATTAAATTCTGCCAGTGCGCTCAATTTATGTTTACCACATTTTTAAGATGCAGAATATATTCTAATAATCTTTTTATTTGTTTATTTGTTTTAAATATTAGTTACAGTTTTTTTTTCATTTTTTAATATTAATTACAGTTTATTAACTTTTTATCCCAGCTGTATCCCACTCCCTCATTCCCTCCCAATCCCACCTTTCCTCCCTCATCTCCTGCCCCTTTCCAAGTCCACTGATAGGGGAGGAACTCCTCCCCTTTTATCTGACCCTGGTTTATCAGGTATCTTCAGGACTGGATGCAAAGCCCTCCTCTGTGTCCTACTAGGGCTTCTCCTCACTCAGTGGATGGGGAGAGGCCAAAGAACCTGCCATTGAGTTCATGTCAGAAGTAGTCCCTGTTCCCCTTACTAGGGTACTCACTTGGACACTGAGCTACCATGGGCTACATCCAAGCAGGGGTTCTAAGTTATATCCATACATGGTCCTTGGTTGGGGAAACGGTCTCATAAAAGACCCCTCTGCGCAGATATATTTGGTCCTTGAGGAGCTCCTGTCCTTTCCAGGTCATATTAACTCCACCTTCTTTCTTATGATTCCCTGCACTCTGTCCAACGGTTTGGTTATGAGCCTCAGCATCTGCTTTGATACACTGCTAGGTAGAGTCTTTCAGAGGCCCTCTGTGATAGGCTCCTGTCCTGTTGCTTGTTTTCTCCTACCTCCAATGTCCATCCCATTTGTCTTTCTAAGTGAGGATTGATCATCTTACCCCAGGTGCTCTTTCTTGTTTATCTTCTTTAGGTGTATAGATTTCAGTATATTTAGCCTATCTTATAGGTCTATATAAGTGAGTATATACCATGTGTGTCTTTCTGCTTTTGGGATACCTCACTCAGGATGATCTTTTCAAGGTCCCACCATTTGCCTACAAATTTCATGATTTCCTCGTTTTTAATTGCTGAGTAGTATTCCATTGTGTAAAAGTACCACAATTTCTGTATCCATTCCTCAACTCAGGGACATCTGGGTTGTTTCCAGATTCTGGATATTAAGAATAAAGCTGCTATGAACATGGTTGAGTAAATGTCCTTGTTGTGTACTTGAGCATCTTTTTTATATATGCCTAAGAGTGGTATAGCTGGATCTTGAGGAAATGCTATTCCTAATTGTCTGAGAAAGTGCCAGATTGATTTCCAAAGTGTTTGTAAAAGATTACATTCCCACCAGCAGTGGAGGAGGGTTCCTCTTTCTCCACAACCTCTTCAGCATGTGTTGTCACTTGAGTTTTTGATCTGAGCCATTTTGATGGGTGTAAGTTGAAATCTCAGAGTCATTTTGATTTGCATCTCTCTGATGGCTAAAGACGTTGAACATTTCTTTAAGTGTTTCTCTGCCATTCTGTATTTCTCTACTGAGAATTCTCCGTTTAGCTCTGTACCCCATTTCTTAATCAGATTGCTTGATTTGTTGCTTTTTAACTTCTGTAGTTCTTTATATATTCTGGATATCAGCCCTCTGTCCGATATAGGGTTGGTAAAGATCCTTTCACACCAAGAATTTCCAAAACTATCCTGTACAACAAAAGATCTTCTGGAGGTATCTCCATCCCTGATCTCAATCTATACTACAGAGCAGAGTAATAAAAACCACATGGTATTGACATAGAAACAGAATAGTGGATCAATGGAACCAAATAGAAGACCCAGAAATAAACCCACACACCCATTGATACTTGATTTTTGACCAAGAAGCAAAAACCATACAATGGATAAAGACAGCATCTTCAACAAATGGTGCTGGTCCAACTGGATGTCTACATGCAGAAAAATGAAAATAGATTCATATTTATCACCCTGCACAAAACTAAAGTCCAAGTGGATCAAAGACCTCAACATAAAATCAGACACACTAAATCAGCTAGAAGAAAAAGTGGGGAAGACCCTAGAACTCATTGGCACAGGTGACAACTTCCTGAACAGAACACCAACAGCACAGGCTCTAAGATCAATAAATGGGACCTCATGAAACTGAAAAGCTTCTGTAAAGCAAAGGACACTGTCCTCAGAACAAAACAACAGCCTACAGACTGGGAAAGGATCTTTACCAACCCTATATCTGACAGAGGGCTGATGAAATAATCTTAAGCTCAATGAGTAAGTGTTAGCACGAACATAAGTGTAAGTGTAAGCAATTAAGAGTGCGTGTGATCAGTTAGCATGGTAATGATAGGTACCTTTTCATCTGTCAGGAGGCACAGTTGGGAGGTTCTCAGTTGAACACCAGTCTGGGCTACATAGTGAGATTTCTGATTTACAACCAAAATAAAAATAAATAAATAAAAATAAACAAAGTAAAAAATAAAATCCATTAAAAAATAAAATAAAATGAAACCACGACTGTTTCTGAAACCCAGAATAGTTATGTGGCTCCTCACATCATATTATATGTGGAAAAGAATCTTGAAATATGTCCTCAAAAACATCATTTATGTAGTATTGCTTTGCTTTGTGCTTGAGTTTGCCTTGAGTGTGGTAGTCTGCAATCATCCCGGCTCTGGCGGTCTAGGTAGTTCTGAATGTTGAGGCACAGGAGAAAACCAATGTGTTAGAAATTTCAGTGCATACTTCCAGTGTAGACAGTTTATTTCTGGTTTGAAGAAATCCTCAATTATGACACAAAAAGAGGAGCGGGAGCTTCTTTGCATTCTTTTCTGAATGTACAAAGGGTAGTGGGAAATGTCTGTATGTTAATAGAAAAAGCCAACCTTTGTACAGATGTAAAGGAAGTTTCATCTATATTGTAGCAGTCTACTGTAGCAGTCTACTGCCAATTCAGATTTCTCAGAATTCCTAAGGACCCCAAAAGCTGTCTCAGAGTAAATGTTTGTGCTCTGTCCTTAGGTCTGGCACGTGCACTGAATGCCCAGTTGGGTAAGTTATTGATGTAACCTCATTTTGTTGACAAAGCTTTTGCCTATGAGCCTCAATTGACTGAATTTATTTCTACAACAAATGTCTGCTTATTGTGTGTGCTTTTAAAGTTATGCCATCACATTGGTACACTTGTAAAAGAATATGAAGAGTTAAAACAAGTAGGGAAATAGATAGGTTATCATTATGGAACGACTCTTAGCTCATCTGTCTGTGCTGTCTTCTGTAGTGTGCCCATTTGAGAATGTTAAGAAAATGGTAACTGTAGATCTTCACAGGAAAGTTGAGCGTGATTTCTTACTGAGCTCCTATGTTCCTGCAAGTTCTGAACATGGACCTCTAACAACTCTATATAACAAGACCAAGCCAGAACCCAGTGCTTGAGTTGAAATCTCTGGACTCATGTTCAAGAGTGTTCACACAATCTGGTTCCCTGGGATAAAGGGTGTGTGAGACATAGGACGGGAAAGAGGAAAGGCCAAAATGTCGACAGATTTCACTGTCATCTACATCACACTGTTGTTTTTACTCTTCACCTTACACAGGTTCTTCCTACAAGTTAATGTGCTGGTACAACAATGTGGCCAAGGACAGGCCAGGAGGTGGCAGGTTCAGTCCTGCCGATATTGACCCATGCTTGTGTACTCACCTCATCTACGCCTTTGCACATATACAGAACAACAGGATCATTCCAGGAAGAGGGGACTTGACTGACTATGAAACTTTAAATAACCTGAAAAACAGGTCAGAGAAGGACAGAGCTGTCTGATTCGGTGTCTATTGTATTGACATTTTAAGAAGAAGCATCAATTCTTCTTAAAATGTGGTTCAGAATTGTGTTGGCATTTTGATGGGACATACATGAATCTGTAGAGTGCTTTTGGTAGGATGGCCATTTTTACCATGTTAATCCTACCAAGCCTTGAGCATGATAGATCTTTCCATCTTTTGATATCTCCTTCAATTTCTTTTTTCAGAGACTTGAAGTTTTTCACACAGTCTTTCTCTTGCTTGGTTAGAGTTACATGAAGATACTTTATGATTTTTTTTTGTGGCTACTGTGAAAGGGGTTGTGATTTTGTTTCCTGATCACCTTTCATTTTCTATTCATTCTTATGGTCTCATCATATAGTTTCAGAAGTAAAACCAAGAGCATTGTCAAGAACTTGTACTTTTTGGCAGCCTCTGTGGTCACTCTCATCTGTGCCTCTTGTAGAGGGGTCCTCACAGCTGGTCAGGTTTTTGTTTAATGACTCATTGCTTGTAGTTGTGCACTGTTTCTTCTTGTAGATTGTCTCAGTTCACTGTGTTTCCCAGTAGTAGATTGCACAGTGGCTTTGTCATCAGCACTTTATTTTCCTTGCTGCTCTTTCCTCTATTTCTCCTTCTTTCTTCAACCTACACACATCTGCCTATGGAAAACTTGCACTGCCAGTATGTTCCTTTTTATAGCTATTTAACTATATTAAATAGTTAAATATTTAAAACAGTTAAATATTTCTATTTCTCCTTCTTTCCTCAACCTACACACATTTGCCTGTGGAAAACTTGCACTGCCAGTATGTTCCTTTTTATAGCTATTTAACCTTTGTGATACTGTGTCTCCTGCTTTGACTTACCTATCCAAACCACTCTCTTTCTCTTCTCTTTGGTCCCTAATGCATTAAAAGTTAACACCAGTAAACAAAAGAGTTACATCAGTATATAAGAGAAAATGTGTTACGTTTGTCTTTCTGTGCCTTGGTTACTTTTCTCAGTACATGTATGTATTTTTTCCAATTTTATTCCCTCTCTGAAAATTAATAGTTTTATTTTTCTGTATAGCTGTTTAAATTTTACCATATTTTCCTTATACATTTGTCACTTGATGGGAATGTGGAGTGATTATTTTATGTCCTATTGAGTGTAGACCTGTAAGGAACAGTTATGTGCCAATGTCTTTGCAATGGGATCTACATTACTTAGGGTGATTCCTAGAAGTGCTGCACCTAACTCATCAGACTGATTTTCAGGCTGGCTGCACTAATTTACATACACACTCGTGGTGTTTACTTGCTTTGCCACATAAACGCAGTATTTGTGGTCTTTTGATTATTTAATGATAGTCACTCTGAATTTGGCAAGACAGGCTTTTTTAATTCAATTTTCTACTATTAGAAATAGATTTTTCCACTGGCTTGGCAAGGTATTCCTGCCAGGAGACAGGGAAAGAGGACATGCTTAGACCTGATGCAAATGATTGCTGGGGTGCATGGGAAAGGCAGCTCCTCTTTTCTGTCGAATAGGCAAGGAGGGATGGGGAAAAAAGGAAGGCAGAACTGGGAAGGGAGGAGGGTTGGGGTTACAACCAGGATGTAAAATGAATAAAAAAATAAGAAATTTAAAAAATTGATTTTTCATACAATGTATTTTAAGTATGGTTTCACTTTTTTCAAATCTTATGAGATCTTCCTTACTTCCCCTCTAATCTGAATTAACACCCTTTCTGTCTCTGGTTAAAAATCAAATAGGCATATAAAAAATAATACGTCATTAAATAAGATAAAACAAAAACAGAAAGAAAGAAAGAGAAAGAGAGAAAGAGAGAAAGAAAGAAAGAAAGAAAGAAAGAAAGAAAGAAAGAAAGAAAGA